TTATCCCTGATCTCTCCAAGACCTTTATCATGAAGGGATGTTGGATTTTGTCAAAGGCTTTCTCAGCATCTAGTGAGATGATCATGTGATTTTTCTTTTTCAGTTTGTTTATATGGTGGATTGCATTGACGGATTTTCGTATGTTGAACCATCCCTGCATTCCTGGAATGAAGCCTACTTGATCATGGTGGATGATTTTTCTGATGTGTTTTTGGAATCGATTTGCCGATATTTTTTTTTTTTGGGGGGGGTTCGAGTCTAGTGGTGATAATGGGGTGCTGAAGTCTCCCACTATAAGTGTGTGAGGTTTTATGTGTGATTTGTGTTTTAGTAATGTTTCTTTCGAGAATGTGGATGCCTTTGTAATTGGGGCATAGGTGTTCAGAATTGAGACTTCATATTGATGGATTTCTCCTGTGATGATTATGAAATGACCTCCTTCATCTCTTTTGATTGATTTTAGTTTGAAGTCTAATTTGTTAGATATTAGGATTGTTACTCCAGCTTGTTTCTTGGGTCCATTTTATTGGAAAATCTTTTCCCAACTCTGAGATACTGTCTGTCTTTGAAGTTTAGGTGTGTTTCTTATATGCAGCAGAAAGATGGATTTTGTCTTCATATCTATTCTGCTAGCCTGTGTCTTTTTATAGGCCAGTTAAGACCATTAATATTGAGGGATATTAATGACCATTGATGTTCATTCTTTGTTTTGGATTTGTTGTTGTTGTTGGTATTGTTTATTGATTTCCACCTCCCTTTTCTTTTGGCTGTTGGTAAAGTGGGATTATCTATTGCCTATGTTTTTGTGGGTGTAGTTAACTTCCTTGGGTTGGACTTTTCCTTCCAGAACTTTCTGTAGCAACCATAACTGTAATGTTTAATGGCTGTGAATGTACTTGTGAGTCCATTGTCAATTGTGTCTTTGTTGTACCTTCTTGTAGATGGGACTATTTTCTTTCTTTCTTTCTTTCTTTCTTTCTTTCTTTCTTTCTTCTTTCTTTCTCTCTTTCTTTCTTTAAGATTTATTTATTTTTGTGTACACTGGAGTTTTACCTGCAAGTATGTGTATGTGAGGGTGCCAGATTCCCTGGAACTGGAGTTACAGACAGTTGTGAGCTGCCATGTGGGTGCTGGAAATTGAACCATGGGTCTTCTTGAAGGGCAGCCTGTGCTCTTAACCACTGAGCCGTTTCTGCAGCTCCTAGGAGCAATAATTTTGTTTTTTACAATTTTATTTTTTCTTCTTTTTCAGCTAATTGTATAGTGTTTTGAGTGGAGAATCTAGGACCAAGCCATGAATACCCTCTCACTCTCATGACTCTACACTATTCTCCTTTTCTCAGCTGTACCTCCGGTATCACATGTGTGTTTCCAAGGGCAAAACCACAGCCAAGCAACTTACAGACATCATGAATGAATATGTGGTAAGTTGTTCATTCCCTACTTGGTTACATATTGCTCTTTTATTCATAATCTGTCCATCAGTAAGACCTGCCCAAACTTATGGAGAGAATTAGACTTCAACTCTTTTAGTAATAATTATAGCAACATTTAATGAATTATAGTTTTTCTTATTACCACACATTGTTCATGTTTCTCCTATTTAAAATATCTTTGACCACTGTCATTTCCACTATGAGGCTTTTGCAGTTATGGAACTGGATGGAATCATGATTAAGTACCTGTTAACCTCCTATTCCATACACATCCCACACATAGTAAAGAGTTTGGCAAGTGCATACATGATGGGCACTTATGAGAAGTCAAGGGTGGTGGGATGTGAGGGTACCTTGTTTATACTGATTTGGGCGTGTATTCCCATTAGATACCTATGACAGTTCTTTGCTAAAAGCCTAGTCCAGGGCCATGCTTCATGTGTCTTCATTCTGCTTGCTGCCTCTTTTGAGTCTCTCAGTTGATATTCTCTTTCTCTAGCAAATGGCTCCATTTGCAATTAACCATCTTTTTTACATTTAATTTGTGTGTATGTACCTGTTGGGGCTTGAACCCAGGGTCTCATGAATGTTAAACCTTCCCCTATTACTGAACTATGCTTTCTCTCTCTCATTTTATTTATTTATTATGTATACAACATTCTGCTTCCATGTATATCTGCACACCAGAAGAGGGCACCAGATCTCATAATGAGATGGTTGTAAGCCACCATGTGGTTGCTGGGAATTGAACTCAGGACCTCTGGAAAAGCAGCCGGTGCTCTTAACCTCTGAGCTGTCTCTCCAGGCCCCCCTTCCATTTTTTTCTCTTCTTTTCTTTTTTTTTTCTTTTGTTTTTGAGACAGGGTTTCTCTGTGGCTTGGAGGCTGTCCTGTAACTAGCTCTTGTAGACCAGTCTGGTCTGGAACTCACAAAGATCCGCCTGCCTCTGTCTCCCGAGTGCTTTGATTAAAGGTATGCACCACCACTGCCTGGCGCATCTTGATCCCATTCATCTCCCCATCCCTTCAAATCTGCCTTCCGCCCTTGAAACACCCCCCCCCCATAAAATAAAATAAATTTTAAAAGGAAAGGAAAAAAAAAAAAGAAAAACCTCATTGTGGAAGTTGTAGTGTGACACAGTGAGTCACACAGTTTACCCTTTAGTCCATATATCTTTACTTACAAGTGTTCATTGCAAGGAGTCAGAGGTCCTGAGGCCTCTGGGTTTTGCTACATTATCGATACTGGGCCCTCACTGGGACTCCTCTTGGATATCCTGTTGTTTCGCTGTGTCATGAAGACCCTGCAGCTTTGGGTCTGTAGGACTGGCTGGTTTACGTGCTCCAGCAGATGATAGATGGTGTGGATGTTGGAATGGGCCAACTTGTAGCCTTGGTTTTGGGTCTAGGTGGTTGCTAGATTGGTCAGCCCTCCAGCTCTCCCTCACCCTCACTACCAGGGTGAGCTCTCTAGCACTTGCCTGGCTAGCTCACCCTATGCAGCAACCAGCAAGGGGTGGGGCTGGTTTTCCCCACTCTCACACTCTTGGGGATGGCTCACTCATGCCTACACTACCTGGGCCAACTCTACTGTGTTGCCCAGGTGAGGTGCAGGGGCCATTCTCTTAAGTGCTACAGCTGGTGAGGGGCAGGCACAGCTCTTCCACCTGCCACAGGTGGCAAGGGGTTGTGGGGAGGGCATTTGCCCATATGGCAAATGAAGGATGGGGCCAGATTTCCCATGCTCATGTTCTTGGGGCTTGCTCACCTGAGCCAGTGTCAGCAGAGTCTATTGTGCTCCCTAGGTGAGGTGAGGGTCAGCTCTCTTGCCTACTGCAGGTGGTAAGGAGTGAGAGGGGGAGGGAATCTTTTCCTTGCCCTCTCTACCACATCGCAGAGGGGGGAGGGCCAGCTCTCCCCCTCTCACGCTTTTAGAGCCGGCTCCCTTGCTCCCTCTCCAATAAGGTCAGTTCTACTGTCCTGCCCAGGCGAGGAACAGGGCCTGTTCGTCCCAGTGATGCAGTTGGTGAGGGGCAGGGCCAGTTCTTCTGCTCTCATGACCTCAGGGCCAGATCTTCCACCTGCCACAGGCAGTGCGATATGGTGGTGGTGGGGGCATCTTTCCCTCATCCATGCCACTGTGTGGTGGATGAGCAGGGCAGATCTCCCATGCTCATATTCTCAGGGTGGCTCACCCATGCTCCCATCAACATTGTCAGCTCTCTTGTGCTACCCAGGACAGGTACAGGGCCCACTTTCCTAAGTGCTGCTGCTGGTGAGGGGCAGGGCCAGCTCTCTTGCCTGCTGCAGGTGGCAAGGGGTGAGGGGTTAGGGCATCTTTCTTTTGCCCATACCACCACATGGCAGATGGGGGCGGCAGGATCAGCTCTCCCATTCTCATGCCCTCAGGGCCAGCTCACCCACACCCTGCCAACAGGGTCAGCTCTGTTGTGCTGCTAGGTGAGGTTCAGGACCTGCTCTCCCTAATGCTGCAGCTGGTGAGGGGCAGGGCCAACTCTGAGCAATCCTATCTTCTTGGCCTTTGGTGGTAATAGGAGCCACAGACATCAACACAGACTGTGGCTGCAGCAGGGCCTAGACCCAGACATGGGACTTTGCAGCAGCCCTGGCCTGGACACCACCATAGTCTCAGGCCTGGGCAAGCAGGCCACCCACCTCAGCTTGCTTATCATTGCCTTCACCTCTTCAGGTCTGCCTCTCTCCACAGGACAAGAGCCATTCTGTCTCACTATATAGTGCCCAACACTGGGTGCCTTTTGGTCCCTGGTAGACCTGAGTTTTCTCCTCCATGGCTAGGACAGGTAGCCCTGGGTGGGGCATGTAGGTCTCCTCTTGCTCAGTTTTTCTTTTTTTTTTTTTTTCTTGGTTTTTCAGAGACAGGCTTTCTCTGTATAACAGTGCTGGCTGACCTGGAACTCACTTTGTAGACCAGGCTGGCCTCGAACTCCCAGAGATCCACCTGCCTCTGCCTTCCAACTTCTGGGATTAAAGGTGTGAGCTACTGACCAGCTGTCCCACTCAGTCTTAATGGCACTCTTGCTTTCTTTTTTCTGATTGTGGCCATTTAGTACAGGAAATGAAACCAAAGTATTCTTTAAAATGTATGTACTTAGAATTCACTAAAATCCATTACACAGAAGCTACCCACATTAGCAACCTTGTTTCCTTGAGTCTAACTAGGTCAATCCTGTTTCCCTCAGAAAGGAGAATGTCTTTTGGATCTTGTATCTTTTTACTAAAACATTGGGTTGAATTGTTGCAGGTAAGTCATTATATTTTCATCTCAGTAAATCCTACTTGTTTGTTTATTTTCTCTCATTGATCCTTGAAATTTCAGCATCCTTTATTAGTTTTATCTTTGTACATTCACTTTCTTCCAAAGGTAGAGACAGGAAACTAGGTAGTACTTTGTTCATTTTCCCCAGGAATTGGCTTAGACTCAGTTATGCTTTCAGTTTTACGTGTTATGTTAGATAAGAATTTTGTTCATATTCCCCCATTTACTCCTTTCATATTTGTCTCCCATTTCTGAGAATGCATTTATCATCACTCTTCACATCCTCATCAAGAGGTCCTAGCTTGAATTTAGGGTAACCTTTAGACCTCACTTTACTTGCAATGACAGGGTCATAGTTTATAACTTTTTAAGACAAAATCCCATTTCTGCATAACAGATTATATTTTATCAAGCTAGCTGTTCTTCTTGAATTAGGCTTTCTGTTGTAGTATGATAACCTGAGAGCAACAACCTGTTGGAAAGGACTTTTTGTTGTTGCTGTTCATGGTAATTGAAGGTTGAATCCATGGTGTCCTGTTCTCATGGCCTTGAACAGAACATCATGCAGGTAGGTGTGAGTGACCTTGAATCTTATTCTTCTGGGTGTAGAAAGCAATCAGTAAGAAAGATTCAGAAAGAGCCAGAGAATATAATGTACAAGGACATGGACCCAGTGATCTAGTTCTTCTAACTGGTCCCAAATTCCTGAAGCTGTCTTCACTTCTAAAAATAATGTCATCATCTTATGACCAGGCAGCTAATGCATGAATCCGTGGAGGATCTTCCCTACTCAAACCATGGATCAAACACCATCCTAAAAATGTGACACCTTCATGACACTCTGGTTCTGTGATGGATTCTCGGCTGACTGACTTCTACTCAGTGTTGCAGTGATCTAGCAGCAGGAGTGGGTGGTTGAAAGCAGAACTGGGATGATATACAAGACCTCTTTCACTGTTGCCTGGCAGTGGGCAGCTGCAGGAAGTTCCATGTGTCCTAGGAAAGAGGGTTCTTCTGGGTTTTCCATGTGCTTCTTCAGTTGTCTCAGGATAGCTGGATTTCCTACCTAATGCCTCCTTTCCTAACAAGGCATTATCCTGTTGTTGGGTGCACAGAGGTCCTTGTACTCACAGAGAAGCATGAAGAGAATGTTAATCATTGCAGGGTGTCTCCTCAATGGAGGAGATAAAAATCAAATACCACTATTCCATTCAGAAAGCAGAGAATGGATTTTGTTAACAACCTGGTGACCCTTTTCCTATCTGTGGAGGCAGATCTTACCACCTTTTGCTATAGGGGCAGACTTCACCCAAATTCACCAGAATGATTATTTCAGACTCTTTCTTTCCTCCCTGGACAATTACTGATCCTTAGGGGAGATGTTCCATGTACTTTATGGCCTGCTTACCTTTATGCTATTGGTCAGAGGCCAAATTAGATTCTAGGACTTTTAGCTACAGAACCCACCCTCATGGTCACATGAACTTTGTAGAAGTCTCCATGTAGTCACACCTTAAGCTTCACTGTGCACTTGGAATTGGACTGATTAGACTGTTGCTTGGAAAGCTTCTCCCAAAATGTACTGTGTTTTAAATAGGCCGGCAATGACCTGCCTGGCATTAGACTCACCAAAGTCTGATCCAGGTGGACAAAGTCAGTCTGCACCAGGTTTTCATTCTTTCTCCTCCCTCCCTCCCTCCTCTCTTCCCTCTTCCTCCTTCTTTCTTTTCTTTCTTCTTTCTTCTTTCTTTCTTCTTTGCCCTGGCTGTCGTGGAACTTGCTCTGTAGACCAGGCTGGCCTCAAACTCAGAGATCTACCTGCCTCTGCCTCCTCAGTGCTGGGATTAAAGGCGTGCACCACTCCCTCCCCTGGGTTTTCATATCTCTTCAGTGGTTCATTTCTCTGTATGACACCTGTAGGGACCCTTCTCATTATTTAATTTTTTGCATCCTTGCCTGTGAATTTCCCAGATGGTACCTTTGCCATGTTTCATTGATTAAACCAATTGCTATTGGTAAGACTTAAGGGGATTTAGTTTCCACCAAATATGGAAGAATTGTCCAGTAGTTGTGGCTCATTCCCAAGTTCACTTTGTCCCAAGTTCACTTCAGTATATTTCAAAGTATAGTATTTACTTTCTGAATACTGAGTCTTTCCTGAACTCTTGTTTTGATATTGGTTTCTTATTTAAAGGATTTATTTATATTCAGAGAATATATAGTATTTTATTTTGGGGATTTGTGTTATGGGTCAAATTATGGTCTGTTTTGGTGACTTTTCTGTTTCATCTTTAACAATAAAGTCAAGATTTTTGTCATCAAGATCTGCCGTCTTCCTGACTTTGTAGCCTTTGCCCCATTAATTTTCTTTGATTTCTACCTGGGAATTGAACTCAGGTCTAGAATACTTGCAACCTTTAACTGCTGAGCAGCGTGTGTGGTGTGTCTTTCTCTGTGTGTGCTCTGTATGCTAACTTTTCAGTTTGAATTTCATTGATTTATTCCTTGCATCTTATCTTTTTCTTCTTGCTACATTCAATTTATTTTTGTTTTTTGCTCTTAAAAAGTACAAACTAAGATTACTGATTTTAGCTTATTCTTCCTAATATTTCCTGGCATCAGTTTCCCTCTAGTAACAGTTTATGCTGCAGTCTATAATTTTTATATTTACTCAGTTTAAAAATTCAGCTCAAAATATTCTTTTTTTAAACATTTATGTGTATGTGTGTACATGTTCAAGTGCGCACACATATATGAGTATAAATCAGAGGAGCATGTGGGTTCCAGGGATATAATTTAGTGTGTCAGGCTTGATAACAAGCACCTTTAACTGCTGAACCATTATGCCATCTCCTTTCAAAATATTCTAAAACTTTTATTTATAGAGTTCTTTTAATCCATGCTTTATCTAGTAGAATTTGTTTAACCTCAATCTCTTTGGAGAGACTCTGCCTGTGAAATATGAATTTCACAAGCATTTGTAAGATTTTTTGGTTTATTTGTTGTGTGTGTGTTTTTCCTCTTCTATATCTGAAAACGCCCTCATGTCTTACCCTCTTTTCTTCCTTCTGACTATCCCATAAGCCTTTCTAGTTTTTTGAGGAGATAGCTGTTGAAATACATATTTGCTCAGTTCACTTACCTGTTCTGATACAACTTCATAGTATTACGTTATAATTTTGGAATCAATAGGTCTTACAAATAACAAATAATAAGGGGTTATTTGTATGCAGCACGGAAATATTGGAATACCAGAGTATGTACTTTTTATTTGTAAGGATTACCAGTAGGCATATAAAACTTAGCTATTGCTGCTGTGAGGACCAGCCTCCAGTAGCTCAGGGATTGAGGGGGAAGCCATGGAGGTGGCCAACTAATAAAGTATGCCTTTAAATTGTTTTCCAAGACCTTTTACTCGAAGGCAATTAACAAAAACATCTTAACCTAACATTAAGTTGTTATTTAAAGCTTTGTTTTAGCTATGATGCACACCAAAACTTGTGAGCACATTTCCCAACCTTAAGATTAAAAGAATTTGAGCTAATTGGGCTACTGGGACTCAATTGTTTTTCTTAATCATTAACCTAAGTCACAGTCCATAAGCTCCTCAAGAGAAACTAGCTGTGTGACATTTTGTATCTTATTTTGTATTGACATTGTTCTTATTTTGTATCCTCTGCAGCCCCTGCTTTATCAGGGGTAGGAGTAACACCGTATCTTGCTCTATTAGTTTTCCCACTAAGCGAACCTCTATTATAATCTCATACTATACTTATTAAAGACCCTCATTCATCAAAATCCTATTTAAACTAACACTATTGTTGTATAAATCATTGCTTCAGTTAAACAGTGCAATTTAGGAGGAAATCATCTTCATAATACTCCACAGGTAAAAATGCTCAATAGAACAGGATATATCCATGAGGTAATCACACTACATTAAGGGCAGTGGGGATCCCCCCACACCTGTTCATACCATGCCAGACACCAGAGAAAAACGGCAGTAGCAAACATGTAAATGCACAGTAGTAGCAAGAGACATTATGGGCCCAAAGCCCTCAGGGCCTTGCCTATCTGAGATTCACCCATCAGTGCTTTGCTTCCTGGCCAGCTAACCTTCTGAACTTCAGTTGCTACCTGCTGCTCCTCTGACATGCACTGACTGTAGAAATTAGTCTAGATACCTGGCTGGGCAGTGGTGGCACATGCCTTTAATTCCAACACTCAGGAGGCAGGCGAGTTTCCGAGTTCTAAGCTAGCCTACACTATATTGTGAGTTTCAGTATAGTCAGAACTTCACAGGGAAATCCTGTCTTGAAAAACCAAAAAGAAAAAAAAAGGAAATTCATCTAGATATATAAATACAGAATCATTCACTCCACGATAAGTTTCTTCAATTTTATGCTTTCCTGTTGTCACAATACCGGTTCATTCATCTATAATGATACTATGTATAGGACTATTACCATGGTGTATGGTTGCTTGTGTGGTTGAGACAAGGTTCAGAAGGAGGGTTTCAGTCATGCCAAATGAAGCAAAGGTTATACTTTCAAATGTTTTTGAGGAAGGGGAGGTCTTGCAGGAAGCAGATTTGGTTAACATACGACTTTACACTGCACAACTAAGGTAGGAGAATGGGGCATATATGACTTAGTGACAAAGCTCACTCTTTCTTTGTGAGTGGGGATTATTATTGTATGACCCATACAACATAACAGTAGTCAGGCTGCCTCCAACCCCTAGGAGGCAGAGCGAGGCCTGCCTATGTTCTTGACTCATGGGCAGCCCTATGTGATTAAGGCATGGTAGCCCAAATGGCCTGGGTTCTCTTACACCAACAGTGAAGGTTTTAATCTATAAGGTAATCATTGTAGTCCATTAATAAATCAAAAATATCAGCATAGTTTTTTTTTGTTGTTGTTGTTTTTTGAGACAGGGTTTCTCTGTGTAGCTTTGGAGCCTATCTGGCACTCACTCTGGGGACCAGGCTGGCCTCGAACTCACAGAGATCCACTTGCCTCTGCTTCCCAAGTGCTGGGATTAAAGGCGTGCGCCACCAATGCCCGGCTCAGGATAGTTCTTTGCTATTTCTTTTTCTCCACTATATAAGCCAGGCAAATTATAATGTAAAATACACAGGACAGCCCCTTCCACTCCTTAAGAGAAGCTGAGCCAGGCGTTGGTGGCTCACACCTTTAATTCCAGAACTTGGAGTCAGAGACAGTCGGATCTCTGTAAGTTCGAAGCCAGCCAGGGCTACAGAGCGAGATCCAGGACAG